TGCCTCGAAGAGAACTAGAAGGTGTTGTGTTTTTTTTTTTAAACCTTTAAATAAGCTAAAAATAGAGAACAGAAAAAGTCAGTTTTGTTATAGGTGTGAATTTTTTCACCTGTGGCCTTTAAGACATTAACTTAAGTTTCACTTGTTAATTTTAACTTTATCTGGCAGAGGGAAGTAAAGACAGGGCCAGTGGGTGGAGAAAAAGGAGTTTAGGACTGAATGTCAGAAGGCTAGGTTGTGGCCCCGGAGCTTTGATCTTGTGCAAACCTCTTCGATCCCCCTGGATCAGGATCGTGTGTGTGTGTGTGTGTGTGTGTGTGTGTGTGTGTGTGTGTGTGTGTAGCATGAGGGATTTGCTCGAAGTGGTCTTTGGATTACTTTCTGGTTTTAAAGTTAGTGATTCTGTGATTTTCCATTGTTAAGGTTCTTGGGATATTAGTAGAGCCATCCATCTATGCTGATGCAGAGCGAAAATTTTCTTAGGTCAAATTTTAGTGTGGTCCATTAGCACTTTCTCAAAGGACACAGATCCTCTGGAAAGGCTCATGGGCTCCTCGCCCTCTCCTTTGCTCCATTTAGCAGTCACATGAACTGCATGCAGACACAACTTTTAATTACCAGACACTTCTAGGGCCAGTTAAACGTGTGTGGAAATTGGCTTCATAAAAGTAGCTCGCAGAGTGGGGTTTTTCTGCTCCTCTGCACGAGGTCGTGGAGCGTATGGGATCTACGTCTTCCCCACCAAACTCTCCTCCCAGGATCAAACGTTCTTTTCAACCCTGTACCCCTGCTCAGTTCCTCCGTAGGGCTTTCCTCTTACACCTGCGGGGCTGTCTGTGCTGGTGTGTGGGAGGAGGTGGACACGAGCAAGGCACGGTGTTCTGGGCTGTTCGGAGAGGTTCAGGCCTTTACAAGCAAGGCTTTGATTCTATTTTTGCTGAACTAGCTCAGCCACTTCCTGTGTTTGGCCGTGCATAGTGCCTCGCTTCACTGTGGCCACTTGAGCCCCGCGCGCTGCCGCAGCCAGTTAGAGAGACTATTTTAGGTCCCCTCACAATGGCCTTCTCATTTCCTTGGCGAAAATGAGCGAGTTGGGCTGGCAGTGGCCACTTGTTAGCCGATGACAACTTTGACTTTGACTTGGGCTCCCCTCCCCCACCCGAAATCCCTAGCTCAGCAAATATTTGAACCTGCCCAAGTTAATCATGAAGCCGTGATCTTTATCTGCGAGACGTGCGAGCGCCGGGGCTTTCTCCCTCCCGCGTACGGCACCACCGGCAGCCAGTGGCTGTGTCCATGGGGAGCGGGCGGTGAGCGGCGCTGCTGCGGCGGTCCCGTCCCGACGTCCGTGTCGCGCCGCGCGAGCCCGAGGGTCCCGCGCCGCCGCCGCCGCCGCCGCCCCTGCGCTCGGCGGGCGGGAGCGCTGCCGCGGAGTGGGCGCCACCGTGGGGGCGGCGGGGAGAGCCGGGGGCGGCGTTCGCATTGTCGGAGACCGGCCTGGCCGCGGGAAACTGCAGACATGCATAACCTGCAAAGTAAGTTGCCTTTAACTTGTACCCCCCTCGCCGCTGCCCTGCTTTTGTGCTTGTGTGCCAGGTTCCCCTCTGTAGTTTGTCTTTGCGGGTGTGTCAGTGAGACGAAGTGCTGTCTGGGGAGGGCAGATAAGAGATTAGCGGAGACACTCCCCCCTTTCCTGGAGGGGCACAGTGTGCGGAAAAGATGGGCTTTAGGCTGGAAACGGGGAAGGAGGTAATTACAAAGTGCTTGGCTGGAAGTTGGTGCCCGGCCAGGCTTTGGAGAGACGTGGAAAATCACCTGTCTCCCTCCCCTCCTCCCCTGGTCGGTTTGCCACATGGGATCCAGCAGCAGGACTGGTTTGCACCAAGCGCTCCCAAAGACATGGGGTAGCCCTCTGGGCTGTTAGCCTGTCCACAGCTGCTGGCGGGACTCCTCCTGGGGGAGAGAAAACACGTTTTTATTAAAGTCAAAAATTTTTTCTGACCCTCAGTCGAGGACATATCCCAACCACTTGGACCATTTTTGTGCGTGTGATTTTGAATTTAGGAACAGAAAAGTGGCCCGGGCCGTCCGCAGGAGGGTATAGGTTGAGACTGCCTTCCTCATCAATGGGACAATAAATCCAGCTAGACAGGATTCAAGCAGAGTGCTCGGTGAAATGACGTGCCTTTGCTCTACTGTTTTATATGATTCTAAATTTGATAGAGGGTCTAACAATAAATTTTAAGGGGTTCTGTGTTCTTTAAATGGTCACACAAATATGTGACATACATAAGTGCATTGATCACAAGCCCACTATAGTTTTTTTCAATCAGCTACTAATTGGGGATGGGGGCTTTTCCTCCTCACCTCTTCATAATAATGTAAATGTAAAGAGGTGGTTTATAATGGAAATGTACATTAAGCTCTAGTGAGGATGGGAAGACTATGCAGAATGGCTGTAGAGAACTGAAATTAATAGATTTATAGAGGAATTGATTTCTTTACATTAAATATTGCTAACCAGGAATAATAGTCCCCAGGGTAAGGCATTTGAGATTGGGGGGGGGGGGGTGTGAACAACCAAAAGTGATTACATCACTCTCCCCTCAAGCAGTATTAGCACAAGAAGTCGGAGGATGGGTTTATCAGTGACAAATAGTTTGCAAACATAACCCTACCTCTGCTCTGCATTCTTGATATATATGGCCCCTTTCTTTTTGGAAGGCGTAACTCACCTGGACTAGTCTTGTTAGACAGTAACATTAAATGTGTGCTGGTAATAGGCAGATCTTCATTCCTGTTGAGATGTTGCATTATTATTCCCTAGTGGCTAGTGTTAACTTTAGTATGTTTGGTAGAAGGAGATTTTTCTTTAAATTGTGCTTTCTAATGTGGTACGTTTGTAACAGTGTTTAAGTTCTGAGTTGTCAGTGAGTTATGCAGGAATGAAATTAAACATCCTGAGTTCTTGATCCCTTCTGCTTTTAATATATACAGGAGGCATTTAAGGACTGTAAAATATACCTTAAATATACCATTCTGATGCATTTGTAAGATTTTTAAACCAAGGCATGACCAGGCTCTCCATAAACCCAGATGCACTAGGGAAAAAAAAGCTCCGGGCTGCAGCATATCAGCTTTTGTCAACCTGCCAACAGCGGAGCGTACCATGCTGCAAGGAGTAATAAAAAAGGAATTAGAGAACTCAGTGCTGGAGGAGAAGAGTCAAATTAAACACCTTTTTGAAACGATGAGCATGTATACATTGCAGTTCTATGAAATGTGGGTTCTTCCTGAGGCTGGGATTGTGTTAAGACTGGATCTAGAAGAGAAATGATGGAGCAGGAGTGGTCTGGTGACATTTTTCTGACTTGATTGGCTGGGGTGTGTGATGTAATAGGTTACAGTGCAGCCCCTTATAGGTTTTAAAATGAATTCCAAGACACCATTACAAAGAAAGCCGGACTCTTTTCTTATAACTGAGCTCAGCCAAGGAAACTCTCGCACAAATGTACAACACTGTTTGGAATATGGAAGACCTGGATTTAGAATATGCTAAGACAGATATAAATTGTGGCACAGACTTGATGTTTTATATAGAAATGGATCCACCAGGTAACACTGCAGTATTCTTTTAGAAAGCTAGTTAATTTTGCGGATTTTTGGGGAGGGGGGAGATTGACAACTACTGTAAACCGATCCTCTTGAGTTTTCTATTTTTTACTAATTTGTTGTAACTTAATAAAAATTAGTTTGATCATAGCTTGGACATTAAATCGTTTGCCTGTGGAAGCAAGCAGATCAGGCTGTCTGTTGGTAAATGGTTTTTTTTCTTACTTGAATAGATATGAATTGAATTCCAGTTTTTCACTGGTGTCTTTTGTTAATCGAGGTCCTTTGGTATTTGTGTTGTATTGTTGTGTATCTTTCATACTGTTCCTTTAATTAAAATGATGCGTCCTTTGTGCTGCTTTTCTCTTTTGACAGTGGATGGGAACAGTGGTACTTTGCAGTGATAACACTTGGTACTTTAGAAGGCGTGTAGAATGTAGCAGTGATTACAACTCAGTTGTAGGTGACCTGAAACTATTCTAAATCAGACGCTGAGACTTTGCCTACTCTTATATTGAGACACTATGTTGAGAAAAGGAGTTGGCTTGCCCTTATTTCATCCTAGTCCTTATACAATGTTCTTGATAGACTCCTGAAATAATTTTTGCATGAAATACTGTCCTTTAAAACTTAACGACTTAGAATTCACTTACAAATCCTAGCCTTATTTTGCTTCCCAAATTTTCTTCCCGTATTAGCCCTGCTCCCAATTAAGAAATTCAGAAACACTTGACATTGAGGAAGAGGGATATGGTTTTTAATCAGTCTTGGCATATAGAGCACAATCTATCCACTAGAATATTAACATGAATGCTAAAGAGATTTAGGTCACAGATGAGTTTCTTAAAGTGGCTTTTGGCAAAAGAGGGCCTGAAATACTAAGATTAGAGAAACCCAATTCCTCCTCTTAAAACATATTGCTGTAGATGAGCTTTTTTCTTACAGCAACAGCATTTGTGGAGGACAGAAACCAAATTTGTCTTTTATAATTAAATAAGAGGAGGAAATTAAAGCCAACCCATGTGATTCCTCCTGCTCATATGTTCATGGTTTCCTATTTTAGATGGATTTGATCAGGCCTGAAACTTTAATATAACTAGAGCCTAGAAGCAGAATGCCGGGACTCAGGATTTACTCTGAAATACACTCACATGGCCAGCCGGGTTTATTTGTTCATCTCTAAGCCGTTCTCTCTTTTTCACTTCCTTTTCTTTTTGATCCATGCTCTGAGAGATGCCTTTTTTTTTTTTTTAAAGCAAACGATCATGTTTCATGGAGTTGTGAATTATTGCTGTATTTCATAGTATTGTAAAGAAACTTAGTTCTCATTGCAACCTTCCACCGTAGTTGGGATCGCAAACAACTTTTTGTTTCTCTTTAATCTACAGCATTGCCTCCTAAACCACCCAAACCCACTACTGTAGCCAACAACGGTATGAATAACAATATGTCCTTACAAGATGCTGAATGGTACTGGGGAGATATCTCAAGGTAAGGCTCCACAAACTCTGCAGTTTTCGCTAGAGACAGAGCTCTGGTTTTAGAGAAAGAAACACACCAGCTTGCTGAGTTCCATTTTTAGGATATCCTCCAACATAAGCATGAAGCATAGTTGGTTGTCTTCCAAAGAAGACCAGAGAAGTCCCTGAGCACTGGGGAACTGTTGGGTGCTGGATGCCACAGGAAATTAAATACTCGAGAAGTTTCATTATTGACAGAGAGGTCAGGAAAGCACCAGGGTGAGGTGGCCCACCGCCTTAAGGGAGGGTCCAGGGTCGCTTTCTGTTAGGCAGAAGTGTAAGAATTAATGTTAGTATCTTGTACATATGAAAAAGGCCTGTTTAGTTTTTTTTGTTTTTTTTTTTTTCTGAAGGGGAGGAAGGAGTCCTTTTCAGGATCATGACTTTGTGAGCTCATTGGCCAGTGATTAGTGTGTTTGGACCACTGATAGACCAGTAATGAAAGGTTTTTTTGTTTTGTTTTTTTTTCTTTCAGCTCCCAGTTTGTAATGAGATGAAATTTATTACATTTCTATATAAACAATACATCTAATCAGAAAATGCAATTAACAAAGGGGTGGGGAGATAGAGGCTCTCTACATAGTTGGTGCTTAATTTTGCTGTGAAGCTAAAACTCTAAAAATGAAGCCTGTTTTAAAATCCTCAAGGTGAGCTTTGTCCTGTGTCCTTTTCGTTTCAGGGAAGAAGTGAATGAAAAACTTCGAGATACAGCTGATGGGACCTTTTTGGTACGAGACGCATCTACTAAAATGCACGGTGATTATACTCTTACACTAAGGTGAGTCCGGGAACATAGCAACGCTTGAGGTGTGTAAGTAGACACTGGAACACATTTCTAAAGAAGATTGTAATAATGCCCTTTATTTTATTGTGTTTACAGGAAAGGAGGAAATAACAAGTTAATCAAAATATTTCACCGAGATGGGAAATATGGCTTCTCTGACCCACTAACCTTCAACTCTGTGGTTGAACTAATAAACCACTACCGGAATGAGTCCCTAGCTCAGTATAATCCCAAACTGGACGTGAAATTACTTTATCCAGTATCCAAATACCAACAGGTATTCAAAACTGAAATGCTCACATTACAATGTTTAGACAAGACACTTTCAAATCCTTAGAAAACACTGTGAAGCAGGTGAATTGCATGTAATAAAATTTCAAAAACTTTATACCTGTGGTCACAAAATTACAGTTTGAGAATGGCCAGTTACTGGACCGCATAGCCGATGAACTGAAGTTTTCTCTCTTCCCATCTCTCATTCTTCCAGGATCAAGTTGTCAAAGAAGATAATATTGAAGCTGTAGGGAAAAAATTACATGAATATAACACTCAATTTCAAGAAAAAAGTCGGGAATATGATAGATTATATGAAGATTATACCCGTACTTCCCAGGTGAGTTTTTTGCTAAAATCAAATTAAAATCTCAGAACTCTTAGTTACTAGAATCGAACTTGTGTCAGTTCGGTTTAGGAAAAAGAAAGTAAAGTTGAGGTTTTGCTCATCAAGTGGGGAGAAAGATCATGTATTTGCAGATCATTGTTTAATATTCATAGCATCTCTAATAAACCTTTTAAATGAAGCTCGTAAGTGTCAGAATGAGAAGTTCTCGTGATGATAATTGCAGAGGTCGCTGGGAGTTTCAAGTGGATTTGACGTAACAACTCAAAGTTCCACAAACTTGTCTGACCTCCAAAATGAAGATTTAACTTTTTGATGCCCTGTAATAAAAAAATAAATAAAACAAGTATAGAAGCTCCATTTATGACAATGTTTTCCTGGAGAGGTAATCTTCTCTAGGCTATGATGTATCTAGAACCACCAGAGGGAGTAGAAGGCAACATGGATTCCTTAAATTGCTGATAAAGGGGAAGGGCTTTTAAAATGAAAACTATAGGAAATTGTTAGGCAGTCTGCTTTCATAGACTGGGAAAATTCCCAAAGGAAATGTGTGCTTCTGTGATACTATTTTAATGGGTTTTATGAATTAGAGGCCTTCCTTGCTAACACAGTCCCTTCCATGCTAGACAGGAATACCATCAAATGTCCCGGCAGTGTCTCTCACAATAACAAATTATCCGTTCTGTGAAAGGTATGACATTGTCTTGTTAAACATTGTGTTGTAGGAAATCCAGATGAAAAGAACAGCTATTGAAGCATTTAATGAAACCATAAAAATATTTGAAGAGCAGTGCCAAAGCCAAGAACGGTACAGCAAAGAATACATAGAAAAATTTAAACGGGAAGGCAATGAGAAAGAAATACAAAGGTTGGTGAACCATGAGGGTTGTCCCTGTGCTCAAGATAATAATGCAAATCCTCCAGAACTGTTGAAAGATGATCTTGCTTTCTGCCCTTTGAATAATTTTTAAAAATGGCAGCACGAGAAAGCATTCTTTTTGACTTTCTATAAGCTGTGGGAAACCATTGTGGTGAAGCAGGTCATGACCGATGCCTTACTCTTGCCTATAGGATTATGCATAATTATGAAAAGTTGAAGTCTCGCATCAGCGAAATTGTGGACAGTAGAAGACGACTGGAGGAGGACTTGAAGAAACAGGCAGCTGAGTATCGGGAGATTGACAAGCGCATGAACAGCATTAAACCAGACCTCATTCAGCTGAGAAAGACAAGAGACCAATACTTGATGTAAGTCCTCGAGGCAGAACCCTGGGAGCAAATGACCGGCCGTTGCCCAAACCAAGGATACATGATTAATGCATTTTCCTTTTCTAACCGTCTTCCAGGTGGTTGACTCAGAAAGGTGTTCGGCAGAAGAAGCTGAACGAGTGGCTGGGCAATGAGAACACTGAAGAGTGAGTACTCACCGTAGGTGGGAGGCTGCCCGGGGGCTGGCGGGGGTGGGGGGGGTCTTCATGGTAAGAGAACTCGTGACTTGCTTTGTTGTTTGCAGACCAAGGGAGGAATATCACGGAGTTTGGAACATCTTCTGTAAACCACGTCGCATTATCCAGAATGTTACAAAAAAGGAAAGTTTAGTGAAGGATGCAGAGTTAGTTTTTACCCACAGTGCAATTGAGTGACTCTGTCTAGAAGGAAGGCCCCAAACCTGTAAAAATCCCCAGTGGGTTTCTGGAACAGTCGGGAGGAAAAAAAGGACACAATTCTGTTCAGTGTATCTCTAAAGCTTAAGGCTGGGTTTTGTTTGAATTACATGAGAAACTGGCAGTCCTCCTAGTCAGTCGGTTTCCTGATCTGAACTGGACAAACAGGATCGTTTGATACCTTCCCCTCTGCCCAGCTGCCTACATGTAGCTCCTGACTTACAAAGAGGAAGACTCTTACAACTGGGGCTCTTTGTCCAGGGAGGTCACATGGAAGGCTGAGCTCCACGGCCAAGTGCCGCCTGAGTCAGAGCCGCGGTGGCTGGCTTGACGGGCTCGGTGGGAGAGGTGACCTCTCCCAGGGCTTCATGTCCAACCTTTCTCTCCTGCCTCCTTAGCCAATACTCGCTGGTGGAGGATGATGAGGATTTGCCGCACCACGACGAGAAGACATGGAATGTCGGCAGCAGCAACAGAAACAAGGCTGAAAACCTACTCCGGGGGAAGCGAGATGGCACCTTCCTGGTCCGGGAAAGCAGTAAACAGGGCTGCTATGCCTGCTCGGTAGTGTACGTATCTTTCTCTCCTGTCAGACAGCTGCAGACGTGTTTCATTCATTCAGCCAACCAAGCTTCGAAGAACCTCACAGTGCCATAACCTAGAGTAGGAAGTAAAAAAGATACAACGTTTTTCAGGTCTAGGCAGAAGCATAGAAACCTGCTGTTGAGTTCAAAGACTGGGGTTTGGGTCTCAGTTCACCAGCTACTTCATCTCATCATGAGCAGTCTCGATCTTCTCATCTTTAAAATGGAAGTAGCAACATGGAGGGTTTTTTTGTTTTACTTCCCAAGGTTAACAGCATTAGAATATGAGGGAATTCACAAGAGAGCTCCACCCGCAGGTCAAGTCTGCACCAGGAACAGGGCCCAACAGCTAGAGAGAGAGGTCATTGGCCTTGAGATCAGTGTACCCAAGAGAAGACCTTTCTGGCATGTGGCGCGTTTTCCTTTTATGTCCCATGTGTTTGGGGAATACTATGAACACTGAGTTTCGGATCACTATGAGTTAAGAAAAGCGAGTGTCCTCTGGGAAGGAAAGGTTCTGAAAATTGCACCCAGCCATCTCCCTCCATTTAACCGGAGAAATATTCCTCCTGAACAGGAGGGAGAGAGTTGAGGATAAATGCAACGTGAGAGGCTGGTCTGCAAGAATGCAATTCACGCCTGTGCTAACCGTAGAGCCCTGCTCGCGTGGCAGGGCCATCGGTGATGGTAGTGCGCGTGTCCTCTACCCGATCTCGTTTCTCAAAGTCACCCTGTGACACGTCTGCCACCTTCAAGATGAGAATACAGTGGCTCAGGGAAGCTGAGGTAGCAGCCCAAGCCCGTAGCTCCCCCGGGAGTGTTCCCTTCCTGGAGCAAGGCCCGCAGAAGGTACTTTTTCACGAGGACCCTTTTCTGAAAACCCTGTTCTCTCTCTCTGTCCTCTGCAGGGTGGATGGCGAAGTGAAGCACTGTGTCATCAACAAAACGGCAACTGGCTACGGCTTTGCCGAGCCCTATAACCTGTACAGCTCCCTGAAAGAGCTGGTGCTACATTACCAACACACCTCCCTTGTGCAGCACAACGACTCCCTCAACGTCACACTAGCCTACCCGGTATATGCACAGCAGAGGCGATGAAGCACTTGTCCTCTGATCCTTCTCCTGGAGCTCAACCACCCCGAGGCCTCTGGAAAGCACAGGGCTCCTCTCCAGCCTGACCTGTAATTGAGCTGAGGAAATGCAGCCATCTGCCTTCAGATGGGACTCGAGCTTTCGACAAAAAAGTAGAGGGGAAGATACGCAGCCTAGCACTGTGCCAGGACCACACGTTTCTGGAGTCCTTGTCCTTTTTTTTAAATTTTTTTTTTTTATTTTTTATTTTTTGGTTTAATTTAAAGCCACAAGGACACACGACACAAAGAGAAAAAGAAATGCAAAAATCTCTGCGTGCAGGGACAAAGAGGCCTTTAACCATGGTGCTTGTTAATGCTTTTTGAAGCTTTACCAGCTCAAAGTTGGGACCTTGTAGACCAGAGGGTGGACGGGCTCAAGAGCCCTGGCCTGGGAACGCTCGAGCCGGGCTGCTTCAGCCTGGGTATGGGCTGTGCACGGTGGACCCAGACACATCGCACTGTGGATTATTTCATTTTCTAACAAATGAACGGTATGTAGCAGAAAGGCACTTCGGCTCACCAGAGACGTTTTGGGAGAACATCCGCTCACGTATGTTCAGAGGAAATTCTGGTGTAGCTGAATGCCAGAAAGTGTTTCCTTTAAACTGTAAAAACCACCACACCAACAGAAAAATGGAGCTTGGAAAACCGGACTTTAAAGGACATTCATTATATAAAATATGTACATAACAATGGATGACTAACTATCAAATAGATGGATTTGTATCAATACCAAATAGCTTCTGTTTTGTTTTCCTGAAGACTAAATTCACAGTGCTATGCAATTCTTAATTTTCATTGTTCTCAGTTTTAAATGTACCTTCAGAATAAGCTTACCCCATCCCAATTTTTGTTGCTTGAAAATATTATTGTCCCTAATTTTTTTTTTGTTAATATTCATTTTGTGATTTTTTTTTTTTAAAGAAGAAATGTGTACAGGATGCCAGTAAAAAAAAAAAAAAACAAAAAACAAAAATGGCTTCAGAATTAAAACTATGAATTATTTTACACTTTTTCTTGTACAGAGTACTTGGCTGTTAGCCCAAGGTTAAAAAGTTCATAACAGATTTTTGTGGACTAAATGTTTTGTTGGGCAGTGCCTGATAAGCTTCAAAGCTGCTTTATTCAATAAAAAAAAAGAGAAAGATATATGAATATGACAAAGTATTGCTGAGTTCAACAATGTTGTTTCAAAACTCTTAAAATACGGTACCAGGTAATGTGTGCTTCATTAAGAATTGTGAACTTCTTGAATCTGGGGTGGGGGTGGGGGGGAGAGGTAGCAAAGGGATGTACAGGTGGGGGGAGGGAGGGCTAGGATGGTTTGCACTTTCTCCTGATTACAGAGAAATGAGTAACTACTTCACTCTTTTCCCACTTGGATCTGCGAGTTATTACACATTAATTACAAGTACAAGACCTACTGGAACGCTAACGCCATGGAGCAGGTCAGAGCATCTAGTTCTTAGGAAGAAAGGGAGCCTCCTGGGGCAGTGTCCGCCTTTGTTTGGACCACTGTTTTCAAGGTATCATCGCTGCATTTAGACCATGTGTCTCTCCAACGTTAGACTACCCATTGCAACCATAAACCCTCATTTTGGAAGAAGCATGATCTGAAAAACTATTTTCAATCCGCCCATGTGTTATTTTCCTAGCTTTCCATTCAATTGAGATCATAAAGCAAATAAACAGGATCCTCACCGTTACCGCGTTGGGCTGTGTCGAGCTCGTTAAGGTCCTGGCCGCTTCAGGAATCCTGACAGTGCTTCTCATTCATCAGAGTCACTGTGTGTGTTACACGTCACTGTGGGGAAAGGAAGAGGTTTTAGAGTGTTCTTTCCAATTCTGGGCAAGAGGGAGAGGTCTCTCTCCCTGACTGACATACGCAAAGTCCATTCTGTTCCACGGAAACTGTCCATTTGTGGGGGGAGCAGCACAGGATCAGTGTGACGGTCCCTTTCCGGGTAGGGTCAAACAGGATCTTAAAAAAAAAATCACAGTTTTCCTTTCCCAGGAGTGGTTCAGCCACGGCTTGCTTTCTGACACTGGGGAGGGGTTTTTGTTTTGGTTTTCAGTGTTGTTCCTTTGAAAAATTCTTCTGAAAATAATCAGTCTAGCCGCTGACTTCATCAACTGTAGAATGTATTTTTTTCTTCTTTACATGATGCTATGATGCTATCCATACCAAGAGCAATAGTCAGTCTTACGGCCAGACTGTCAGCCTTCACACTTGACTGTACTGATCTGACCGCCTCCCTCTCATCACACAACTGAGGATCCCCCTGGGTGTAGTCTGTAAGTGTCAACTTTAAAAACACCCTTCCCCTTCACACACAAGTCTGACGACTAATTAAGAGTGGTTTATCAACTAGCATTTTGGTGGGGTTTTTTTGATAGCACATCCACGTATGCTGTTAGGTAGAATTTTCATTTACTATCTGAAATACAAGACTGAAGATGGAATGTTTCATGCCAAGTTTTGTTAATGTTTCTGGTTCAACACTCTGGTGAGGTGGCATGGTATTCAGGCACCTGCCTTATTTTTGCGTTTCGCAAACATAAATGCAAGAGGAAAGTTTCTCTTTGAACAGCAGAGGCAGGATTCGTCATTCCCTGTTATGTCGTAACTCACTAGATCTGTGATGTTACATCTCTGCCAAACGCCTTTTTAATTGCGTGTGGCATACCCACCACATTCGTCCTTATAGATGTTTGACCAGAAGGGCTCTTTGCGTTCAGTCAGACAGTCTTCTCCTAATAACACTGAGTGGCTCGTGAGTATGAATGGATACAGCAGAGGCATTCCTGATAACATGCTTTTATGCATGCATTGATTCTCCCCACCCAGTGTAGCATCCTAAAGATAAAAGCCAGACGCTAAGCTAGCTGCAGAGAGGCTGGGATAGGGCTGTACAAGTGGGAGCACAGGGACCTGATCGCACACACGGAAGAAAAATCAGAACCGTGTGAAAAGGCACAAAGCATGTGTTTGCAACATCTGCCAAGTTCACGGCCCTTGATATATGTATATATGTATATGTGCATGGACTGTTTCCAGTACACCTTTCAGCCACAACAGATCCACAGTCGTCGAGTTCAAGTACATAACAAGCAAATGTCTAGTACAATTCTTGTGTATGTGTACGGGTGGTTTGTTGTTTTTTTTTTTCCTTTGAAGTTGCTTTGTCTTAAAAAGGTGAAAACTTTGCAAGTGAAGTGAGAAGTTCATAATTCTTTGGCTTTTTTTCTGCTTTTAAAAGTTACTCCTTTGGGGGAGCTGGTCTGGATGACTCACTTAACTTGGAAATCCTCATTTTCGGTGTGTCGAGTCACAATGTGTTTATGTGAGCTGTCACTGTGGGGAATCAATTGCTTTGTCATATAGCTGGTTATGAACTAGTGACGTGTTTGGGAGTCCTACTGATGTTCCTTAATGGGAGAAAAACTCTGCTGGTTTTAACACCTGTGCTTTTGCTATGCATGGTATCCAAGTAGTTGGAGAACAGACCCTGAAATCTGAGTTCAGGGCCTTTTAAGAAAGGGGCAGTTTAAAGCACAATGCCTCACATGGGACAAAGTTTGAAAATACCAAATTCCCACTTTTTAAAAATCTAGTTGTATAAAATATTAGTATTATGAGTAGCAAGGGAACAGAATTGGGTTCATTGGAAACACTATTCACCTTAAGGTTAAACTTGTCACCATGAGATAGCATTAGCTGCCCGGGATGCTGCTATTAAAAAAAAGAAAAAAAAAAAAAAAAAAAAAAAAAAAAAAAAAAAAAAAGAAAAAAAATTAAAAAAAAAAAGCAAAACAAACTCATTTATATGTGTGTATTTTTTAAAAGCTACGATCTGTTCAATGTTTTTACAAATCTGTTTATATGACATTGTTAAAATAAAGTTGGTCTTTTGACGAGAGGGAGGATGTCATGGTCAGTTGTAATTTTGCCTTTACAAGGCAACGGGGGTGGGGGGGCGGGGGGAGTGTGCCTCCTTGACATTTTGTTCAAGCTATAGATTCAATGGAGCTATGTCTTGTTGTTTTAAGTTGCTTTGATGCATTGTATTAGGTCTTCAAACAGAATAAAGGTTGTTTTGAAACTGAAGTTACGGTTTGAAGTTTCAGTGATCACCTAAGAAGCGTTTCTAAAATTGCTCTCTTGCTCTTCTGGTTAACAAACGTCACTGCTGTTCCCAGGGCTTCCCACCTCCGTTTTCATCCTATTACCACGTTATCGCAAGATACCACTTCACAGGAATGATAGGTTAGTGTTACTGGCATAGTTTCACCATATTCTCAATGATGAAAAGAAGATACCTCTAGGTGATGTGATATCATTGCAAAGCATGTTCTTGCTATAATGGCCACTCTCCCTCAATTCTTTCCCCATCCATCCATCCCACTTTGTTACGCCTGCTGGTTTTGTCTCTATTCTGCAGTCTGCATATATTGAACACCCACAGGACAAGGACAGCCTGAGGCACTGTTCAACACGCCTAAGTGTGACACGGGATGTGGCGTGAGGCTTAGGGAGCAAAGCTACACTCCAGAGTGAGGTTTCTCATTGTAGCATCTAGTTAATACATACAAACCATTCTTAATCTGCAGTACCTTTCCTATTTGTTTTATTGCTGAGTGAATTTACAGCCTGCTACTTTGCATGTATATGGCACTCATTCACTATGTAGGCACAGCGAGGGTCCTGGACATGGAGGCATGGTCTAGTAATGGAAATGAGAAGGGCACGTAAATACAGTCATGGCAACAATGACTAACAGAGTATGGCAGGAACTCTGATTCCCTTCCTGCTTTTCCCCTGCTCCGTTCCGTATCCCAGAGAACTACATTCCCAGGGTCTTTTGCCATCTGGCTTCTCGGTCCTGAGTCCTCCCGCGGCACTAACTCTTGCCAGATCAACCCTCCCGACCAAGGTTTAGAGGGGCCCCAGGATGCTCTGCCTCT